GACGTCTACCTGGAGAATCGGAAACACAGTTCCGAACGGATTAAACAGATTCAATTCCTATTTATCTTCCCTTTTCCTTCGATTTTCTGAATTTCCAATCTCGGGATTTGAGTGGGGTTGATAATATTTTTCCATTCATGTCAAAATTTCATGAAACACAGACCACCGCCTGACAGGACACAGAGCACAGAGACACCGGTGCACAGGACTGGTATGCTCGAGGAGAAGATGAGAAGAAGAAGGATTGACAACTGGCTTGTCAGTGTCAGCTGTCACCGTCAGCCGTCAGGCAATAATAGTAATCAGCAATTTGACAAATGAGAATATTGAAAATCATCAAATAAATTATTGAACTATTCGGAACTGAAAACAATGAAAACAGAGAAAAAAATATAAAATATGCAATCACATAAACCGTTTATTCGCGAATACAACTTTCTGGATTCGTTACATAGGTCGGGTGGGTATGGGTATGAAAAAGAACAGGAGTGAGATGAATCGATGAACAGGATGAATAATAATGGTGGCAGACATGACTATTACAGGAGTTCTCAACATACGGAATAAGTCGCTATTTCATGTTATTGTTAAACGAAAGTGGGATGAAACGAAAGAAATCAAGTAAGTTCAACTCTGTGTCAGGCACTTCAGTAGCTGGTGATAAAATTCATGTTATTGGTGGAGGCTTTCTGTTTCATCGAAACTTGTGGAGCGCTCAAAGAGGGCAACAAAAAAGAATGCCGTTGAAATGGTTTTCACTGGAGACGTATCGCTGAAAGCCTCTCGATGGCACTTCCTGGCAAACAATCCCATTTAAGTTGTGGAAACTGGGGGAGGATAAAATCTTGTCATATCAAACGAAAAAGGATGCTGACACATTGATTGTTACCACAGCCATATTATTATAATCGGCTCACAATATAGAGATTATTTTAGAAAGTGATGTTGTGTTGTGTCTACTTTCTCGAACTAGGGTAGAGGACAGCCTTTTCAGCAATGACTGGAAGAGTGTTCTATCACATCTTGTTTTTTCACGATGTGAGGGGCTGTGATTTCACATTCGTCTTGTTCGAACACAGAAAACCCTGAGAACTATGATAACAATCCCGACCATAGCCTTTTTTTATTGTCCTCCAAACTGAGTTGAACGAACATTGATGTCAAAACTATCTACACAGATGGTGAGATTTGTCTTGTATGATGGAAACACATATGCCAACACCACTTCAACAGAACACGTATGTCTATATAACAGCACAGTTATGAAATTCTTTGTCGAAGGAAGTATTCGCACGAAATGATAATCTTTGAAATTCCAACAAAAATTTGACTTTTTGCTTGCTCTCTCATCCTCCCTAGATACTCACGAAGTTCAACATTATGAGAGTTTCCTCGCTCCAAAACATGAGGGAAAGCGCCCCAAGAAAAGCTGCGGTACAAATGTTGTGAGCCTGCATCTTATAAATCCTCATCGAATATGGCCACACTGAGGAAAATTCTTACTAACCATAGTCAGAAATCGAATAACCCCAGCAAGAAACTCTAATAGCATAGGGGACAAGCGAGTTATCACCTGTGATTATAAAGTCGACTCTGCTGATTATAACCCACCTGCGGTTATGAGATATAGAACCTTGCTGCCACTAGCGAGTGCATCTGTATATTGCTATTAGACGATGTTTCTGTAGTAGGTATCTGACTTTGCTACCGCTAGTGAGTGCATCTAATAATGAAAGTAGGGCAATGTTATAATCGAAGGTAGGGAACTTGGCTACTCTTATCATATAGATAGTTGCATGACCTTCTTACTGTAGTTATTCAGTTATTTTCCAGGATTGTTGTCATCAAAAAATGTGAAATTTTGACTGATATCCAATTTAACTTCCTGATTTCCACCCTGATGTTTGGTATGAATAGCAATCTGTTGATTCCTCAAGAAAATTTCGCTTCAATGATCTTTGAAATTCAATAGATCAATTGATTCATACATGCACCCTCAGGAAAAACGAAAGGTTTTCGAGTAATTGATGAAAAACAGAATTCTTCTGAAACTTTCTGAAACCATTATGTTTCGGAAACTAGGCAAGTTATTACAGATGCGTACAGGGAAACAAAATGTTACCAGTAAAATCATTCAAATAATTTCATAACCTGAACATTTTTCATCACAATGAGTTTTTAGACCACATTCTATAGAGAAGCTCTGGAACATATTTGACAATTTTAAAGTTTCATGGTACCAAAAAGAGAGAAATGTTGAATGTAAAATATTTGAATTTCAGTCGAAATACCTCGAAAAAACTCATCTTTATCATTCCATCAATCCTGGTAATAACTGAAGCACTCAGATATACGAAAGCACTGGAAGGGCCACAGAAGATTTTTCAATTTGTTTAAAAATGTTTCCATCTCATATTTGAATCTAGATTTAGATTTCAAATAATGAATTGAATTCAAGAGGGGAAGTATTCGTAACTGTCGTGTCGTCAAGATGGTCGTTCTGTACATGGGTTTACATCAAGAGCCCAAATGTGAATGATTGATAAAGCCAGATGTCTGGCAAATGCTCATATAGAGGGAGACAAATCAGCAAAATATTTAATAACGATAAGTAGGCGAAACATAACCCCAAGTAGGCTCGTCACATATTCTTCTCGTGGCAGAATGACAGTTGTATTATCGGTAGTGCATGCTGTCCCAGAGTGGCTGCCTGATTGCGACAGCAGTATAATTTTCTGTGGCAGGAAATTCACTATCAGCAAAGTCGTTATTGCTATCATAGGATTCCAAAGTGCTGCTTCTATTCGAAAATGTATAACGATAATATGATTTCTTGTAATGGTAGCAAGAAATATCTCAGCAAAAACTCTAATAGCACAATTTTCCTCAGTGCACATTTTCCCCAACTGGAGCTGCAGAACACCCTCATTTCCTGCAGGTTGATAAGCAAGTGATGCTATGGATGAGTTGACTAGTTTCATGGAAAGAGCCGTGGAAGTTTGAGTGGAGGCAAACAATCAGCAACCTACAGTCCATCACATTCAACAAACCCCCTGTACCTCACAAGCTCCTTCAACTGGTTGAATCCAAGTGCAAAAAGAGTGCGCAACGGCAATGTGCAGGTGCAAGGAGGCTAGGCTGAGTGGGTTATGCTGCTTTCGAATGTGTGAACCATACGAAGCATCCTGTAGCAATTCACATCGCTATTATCTCGAGAATATAAGATATCTAGATGACAATCATCAGCCACTACTTCAAGGTTGAGTCGATTGTCTGTTTGCACTTGTTATCAACTCGTCAAATCATTCTGAACAAAAACTTTTTCAAAATAGTCATTTGCGCCCTATTATATTAGTGATCCATAATATTCTTCCACTGAAATTTCAATTCCACAAATGATACACAATTATAGTGAGTTTATGGAAGAATTGCGAAGCTCTCAATTCATGGAAAGGGTACATGTGGAATCTTACAAAAATCATATATTTTTGTTTTTCAGTTTTTTTGCAGAATATGTGTCGATCATTCAATTTCCACAAATCGCTATGAATGTGAATCGAAGCTACAAGAGTTTGCTGAAATTTAATCGACGGAACAGTATTGTCCAGTATATTCAGCTTGGAAATGAATTAAAACTTCGAATTACTTTCTTTGAGATAGTTCGCGCATATTCGAAATGAACCTATATTTCGAACTATAAAACATACCACTGCGCTGTGTGTTGTATCCTTATAGGATCAGGTTAATTCGTCACACTGTGGTTTGTCCCAAATTGTAGAAAAGTCAATGTTCATCAAAATGAATTGAAAAAGGTTTTTTTGCTCGAACGCATAATTTTGGAAATCATGAGAGAAATTACATAAGAAGTGAGGAAATGTCGATTTTATCTGCCAATATATCGAAACGCCCCAGGAGAACTTGCTGAACAACTCCAGATTTGGATTCAATGCTCTGAAAAACGAGGGATATGATGAAAGAACCAACTACTGGATCTTTTGCAAAAAGAGAGGCGTATTTTGATACCCATTACCTAGGTTACTATGATTTTTGATCGACTCAGCATCATTTCAAGTTTCTTCTAGCATGAGAGTAACCGAAATGGAACTCACAAACTTTGACGAATTCATCAATGAGCCAAACAAAAGTCGGCATTATATTGCAATGCAATGCCATCTGAGTAGAACAGAAGGAAAGAATCAATCCAAAACTGGAATTTCCATACGGAAGTGGCTGGTTGCCTGACTTGGCTAGGCTACGCTGAGTCGACGGACTCAGGACTGCTGGCTGAAGACTGGAAACCGGTCTGTGGGTGTCTAGCGTGGCCTGGCTTGATCGAAATCGATAGGCATCCAGTAAATAATCACTTGTATCAGTATTCGTTCATACGAGTCGATGCATAGATTTCGGGAGAATGTAATTCGATTTTCTGCGTGGCATTAGCCAGGAAAGTAATTGTTTCCTCCCAAAATCTACCATTGATGTTCATTTCATGAACATTGTGTGAAAATGACTTCGAGCTTCCTGTATTAATTTGATAATGAAGTAGTGAATAACGAATACTCAATTTCAAAAGGTGCGGTTAACAAAAGCATCATCAACTTTTGCAAAGTCGAGGAAATATTCCGAGAAATGAAGATTTTTGAACTTCTGAACCCAAGCGGTCGCATTCGACGGAGTCGGATACATTGGTAAAAGGTATTTACTGGGATTATTGTTGATCAAAAGTCCTGTGGCGTCTGTGATGTGATATTGAAATCCTTTCATGCAATTCTATGCAGAAAAGGCACTTTTTCCACCCAAAAGGTCCCCTGAGATCACCGAATGATCAGTGAAACGGAGGATCGTTACAAAAAGTCCATTATTATTGTTAACTTCAACAACATTTATCTGACCAAGGATATTTCAGACACAGATTCATTATGTTTCCTGAGACTTTTTCTTAATTCTCACGTCTGGAATATCTTCCATTGGATACGCTGTTATTGACTCGTTCCTTCTAGTTGTAGCTACGACTATCTTCTCATCATGGAAAGCTTCAACGATTCGACTTGGAATAATATGTCAACATCAACGAAACGCCTCTGCGGGGACTGGAGCGCCAAACTGAAACTTTTGCGATACGTCAGTCATACATCAAAACTCAAGCTGAGATTCTCCTCAGATTATTCGCACCACTTCGGGGGATTCAAAGCCAGAGTTTCTATGGAAATTGGTAAGTGAGCAAGAAGTATCTATCAAATTAGTTCATCCAAAGACTGTTCAACTAATCATGAAAATCAATGAATATTATCTCTTTATTCACATATATGCGGCGGCGCATCCATCTTTAATATTGATTCACCAGGCCTTCTCATTCAGTTGGAAAATTACAGTGCTGTTAACATTCTGAGGTCAATTTTTGTCATGTACAGAAAGATACATAGATAGATGAGGAGATAAAAATGATGTGACCAATATTGAGGGGACTGTTTTCAGCAATCATACGGAGAAAATATTGGACATAGCCCTCATAAAGTGTTTACCGCAGACATCTGTTTCGGGCTCTTGGCCCTTATCAGTACGGTGAAAGAATTGCAAAGGATAGGCGCAACACTTGGTGAAAGACCAAGCAACAAATCTACAGAATCAAGAAATCTGAACAATCAGAAGCCAGCCGCATATTTGTGGTTTTGATGAGTAGGTAACTCTAGCTGCTTCCGTGGAGACGTTAGTTGTTCCTCTGGTAGAGTATGGTGACCACAACCACAAATGTGCGGCTGGGTTCTGTTTGTTGACTCCGCTGATTTGTTGTGTCGCCTTCCACTAAGTGTTGCCTATTCTTTGTACTTTTATCATCGTATAGATGGGGATCGAAAGCCCGAAACACAACTCTACGTTCGTTCGCTACTGAAGATTAACGGAATGGAATTTTGAGTGGAATCACTTGATTTGTCTCTACAAATTCATTAAAATTATGTGAAATCAATTCATAGGTGTGAGAGGACACTCAATGATTTCACGTTGAATTGACTTGTCCTAGAATACCTGTCTGTTTCGAATAACATCGTTATTTCAAACGAAAAGCTTAATTTTTCTTCGCGTATTCATGAACTTTCTCTATACCCTAGTTTAGCTGTTTTCTAGATATGCAGACTTTTTTCAATCTTCTTTCGTTTGCTCGTTCCTCTCCAAAGTTCGATAATCCTCTCATTTTTATCATAAAATCGAAATCATGTTTGAGCGTCAGTAAGAGGAAGAATTGATTTTTTCTTGATATTTGTTTGATTCGGGAAACATGATCAGAAATCTGTCAAATTCAGAAACACTGGTAGGTTGGAGTAGTATTCCATTTTATATGGAATGCAAATTGATTCTCGCATCTAATGAAGAACTATTTGGTTCCGCATCGATCTGCATCGATGTTCCCCATCGTATGATATTTTCAAGTTGTGATGATGTTTTCTCGATATTGAGTAAATACTGTTCTTTACGGCTATAACACAAGATATTGCTCTTATCTCACTGTGTTCGATGAATCTATGGGGTACTCTGAATGTCATCAATTTCATTTCCGTATCTGATATCACAATGCCTCCATTGTGTTATTAAATCAAGAAAATCTCATCCCTCATGGAATGTCAAATTTCCAGCAATGACAGCTCTGTCTAATAGATGAGCATTACTTGACTGAAAATCTGATGGCTACAAGACGAATGAATCGAAGATGCCTCGAATGATTGCAGCATTCGCCTGTGGCTCATGCTGCAAACTCAATTCTTGTAGGAAATCACTATCATTTCGTGCTCGATGATGTGGTGATTTTGTTCAATTAACTAATTGTACCATTATTATTCATCATTACAGAATAAGGAAAATCGAAGTTATCAGAATTGATACTTGATAAGTTTATTTTTTATTCATGAAGAATACGGGAATATAGTGAAGAGAACTCGCCGTTTATTGAACGAGATATATCCTCGATTGCAAAATCACTCTCATTCTTTTCGCTTTTCAAACCTCCACTCATTCGATCGTTGCAAGTAGAGATATTTCCCGTTGAATGGACGACAATTCCTGTGCACCATTTTGTTACATTGTTGAGTCGCAGACAAGGCCAGACGAAGACAAATGAGCATCTGGAATTCATTCTCTCTGGAAATACTTGTACATACTTGTCTTTCACAAATGAGATATTGAGGTGGATCATTTCTTAATTCAGATCATAATGAAGAGTTCAACCCTGCATTTTTGTCACAAAGCGTCAAAGAGTTGAGATGAAACAGGAACTTTTGTTTTTACTGTATAATGATCAAGCCGTCAGCTTTTGTTGGAGATTCAGGTTGCAACTCCAAAACATGTATGATTTGGTCGAAATTTCAGCAGAACCGGAGCAGAATTGGAAAAGTAATAGAACGATAAAATTACTTATCGATTTTCTGACTTTTTTCAGAGAGATTGAATTCACCTCATTTGAGAACGAAATAATATTATTGAAAATCCCTAGTTTCATGAGAAACATATTCAACTAACTATTGTATTATTGATATCATTCACATCTGTCGAAATCATCAATA